ACCTGCTATAATATTAAATAAGATAACATTTTTAAATATTTACACTGGAATTGTGTGTTAAAATATAATTTACTCTACAATCATGGTTTTATTGAATGGGAAATTGAGCAATACATTATGTACTTAAGAGATTAAACGGTTTTAAAATGAAATTACAATGTTTTGTGTGTGATGTATAAAACTGTCCCTCATTTGCTATGTTTACTTAAATTTTACACCCATAACTTGAATGGATTGTCTATGAGGGAGAATGTTTAATCCCCTGTACTGTTATATTCAGGATGGTGAATTTTTTGTCAAAATTTAATGACCAATCTGAATGAAGTGAAAGTGAAGTGAAGTCACTCTTCAATCAAAACTTCATCTGTGTTATTTATCTATGATGTTTGTGTTAAAGTCTTGTATGATAAGCATCCAATAAGAACTCTTGTTACAAGCTGCTACAACCAATAAAAACCCTTGTTACAAACCACTATCTAGTAAGGCATGCTCTAATTGAATACAACTACATTTGTATAATGATTTACACTTGTATCAATAAAAATGTGGCCGATTTACAATTAGCATAAATACAATGGGTTTATGTAAATAATGTTGCATTTTAAATAAAGCAATTTATTATGTTCAACACTATGTTTTCTCTGAATTTTGTACTTATGGTGTATTATGTTCAAAAGTTTATGATGGAAATAAACAAATATAGAGTCATGGTAGAACATTGGGTCACATGACCAAGTGGAATTGTAGGTCATCTTCATAGTTAAAACCAAAGTTGTCAGCGAATTAATGAGCAAGCATGCTAATTTGCTGCCCCAATAAGCAAATGTAGTCTCTTTCTAGATTTAAATAAGATTTGACAGACACATGTTCTTTAAAATAGGGGCATGCAGTCATACTTATATATATATATATATATATATATATATATATATATCAACCACATGTATGAATATCCAGGGTCCAGATATGACAAACTTGAACACTGTAAATTGCAAAGTAATATATTAACAATTATTTAAAGGAAACATCAAGCCAAACAACATAATTACCCCTCAAGAAAAAACTCCACAAATGTAGGAGAATGCAGTTTACAGTTTTTTTAATACAAATAATAATGCTATAAGCATAGCAAACCTGTTTCCTTCATCTTTATAAATATATATACCGGTATATTTCACAATTCAAACTGAAAAATTGGTCAATTGAATAACATTGGAACTTTTTCAAATGACGTCATTGCACATCACTCGTTGATTGGCTGGGTCATTTCAACTACCGTTGACATTATAAATATTCATGAAAATAAAAGCTAGCATTTTTTTGTGGCTATTGTATTGAGACTTTATAAATTCTAGGACTAATTAAATAAAACATTCATGCAAAAATTAGGTTGTCCAACTAATACCAGGTTATTAAATAGGATTAGGGTATTTCCCACTGTACATCTACATTCATATTATAGATTTTGTTGTCTTATGTTTTGAAGCTGTATTATCCGATATGTTTTGTTTGAAGAATTTGGTGTCTGAGTATATGCCGTATACTAAATGGAACAATTATAGTATTCTCAAGAAAAATTGGTCAATAATTGTTTGTATTTGTCTGTATTTGACATGGCATAACCCTTCTCTGCTTGGTTGACTATTCTAGTTAGATATTTGAGATCTCAGATTAAAAAATTTAAAATAGAATTAAGAAAATAAATTGCAAAAAATATGATTTAAAACAAAAATGATTATAAAAAAGATAAAAGAAAAGTCCAATAACTTCTGAGTTATCCAATGTGTATTGGAGTTTGAATTGAAAAATTTATATACCGTAGTAATTACTGAAAATTAAAATTTTCGTGAATTGTCATGGAGATTAGTCAGCATACATTTCCCAGAACACTGGTTGAGTGCAGATCTTGTGATCTGTACAACGAAAATGAAATGTGAAGAAAAGTTTTATTTTACTATATCTGCTGTGCCAATAATCAACAAAGATGTTTTATTTTTGATAAAGCAACCTTAACATTTTATTGCTTTTTTTAAGTTTGTAAGACAAAGATAAATTCAATTCAAAGTAAAAATGATCATCAAAAGTTTAGAATTTCCAGTCGCTAAAGTCATTATAACATAGCTTCAAAACAGCAGTACCTACAAACTCGCAGATGCCCCCCCCCCCAACCTCAGATGTATGTAAATCTCTTAAATCAAATTTTTCGTAGTGGACTTTCACTCTTGGTACAATGAAGGCATTCCCTTCATCTTTATAAATATTTATCAATTTTGCATTTTCAAACTGAAGGTTTCTATTGGCTCATTGAATAACATTGGAATATTTCCAAATGGTTGTATTCAAGTTTCATTGACATTTAAAAATATTTATTAAGATGAAGAAAATTTCTTTGTTGTCACGGTGCTGAGAGTTTTTAGCAATATACATATTTATTTCAGTGTTTTCTCCATATTGGCTAATTTGCATAGCAAAACAATTGTCAACCCTGCTTGCATGAGCTGTATACATTTTTAGGAAAAGAACTGTGGGAGATTGGGTCCGCCCCTAACTTTGTGACCTGTTTATAGCGCCACCTATAGTTCAACCACAACCTCGCTTTCACACAAAGCAAGATTCACCAGTTTGTCAAAATGGCGGCCACCGATGAAGGTCGATTACAGAAAATGGAAGTTGATTATAGTGACACTGTCGACAAACGGATTCCAGAATGTGAACAGCTAGCTAAGGTAGGGGATGATCGTGTATCATAGTACACGTGCAGATAATTTTAACTGAAAATATTGCATAGTTTTATCGGCAGCTCCTTTGGAATCGTAAATACTTTCTGCAAGTCATGTCACATGGCCATACAGTACATTTTGCTTCATGTGTTTGTATATATGTATTAAAGTATAGTCCACGAGATAATCGAGTGATTGATGAGGAGAGAACATTGTCTCACTAATTTACCTTCATAAAACAAGATGGTGTTTTTTTTTTGGCAGAGCTCCAGAAGGAGTACCTACACTTTATGCAATTTGTTTTTAATTATGCTAATTTATTCATGACGTAGCAGTTTCTGTGCTCATGAATATTCATTAATTTGTGGGTCAATACATTTTAAAAGGGGCGATATATTATTTTTGGGGGAAGAGTTAGAAAGGGGGATTAGCGATCCTTAGGGGGTCAATACAAAAGAAGGGACCCATTTGGAGAGCAGCCATGCTCCTCGTATCTGTTGTTGCACGTGACCTACAGCTGTCAACTGTGTTCGTTCTTTGACGACTTCGACTGGCTTCCATGTGGAGTAGTATTCTTGTGTTCTGTTTTCCTGACTTGAGTTTTTGAATCCGCTGTTTATGATTTTAACGTCTTTCATGTCTTTTGTAGGAGTGTCCAATCCGTGATTCAAACTTGCGATCTTTGAGTTCCCAGCGCACTGTCTTGTCCACTGTACCACGAGTGTCTTCACACAGGAGTTAGGATTTAACTTAATTTAATTAATTAATTTTGGTGTAGACAACTCTCATTTAATTATTTTACACCATTACAAGTTGTTAAATTGAGAGAATAAATGTCTCAACAAAAATTTAATACTTAGTTTGATGTAAACA